GAAAGACACGGGTCACCGAGACAGAATAGTTTTCCCAACGTGGCTCCTCCGATGTTGAACAAGGTATGAAGTCCGGGTGAAGCCTTTTCCACATGCATCACACGGATAGGGCTTCTCCCCGGTGTGGACTTTTTGATGCTCAAGGAGGCTTCTGCTCCTAGTGAAACTCCTCTCACACTCGTCACATCGATAAGACTCGGGAGCCTCAACATCCCCCTCGCGGCTCTCCGGCTTGCCCTGACTCTCCCAGCTCTGCCCGTGTTCTGCATCCTGAAAGCTTTTATCACTATGGATCCGCCGATGTCTCAGGAGATGGGAATTCCGCCTAAACGCTTTGCCACAAAAGTCGCACTGGTATGGCTTCTCCCCAGTGTGGATTCTGTGATGCTCAAGGAGGCTGCAGCTCTGGCTGAAGGTCTTCCCACACTCATCACACTCGTAGGGCTTCTCCCCAGTGTGAGTTCTCTGGTGCTTGATGAGGTTTGAGCTGTGACTGAAGACCTTCCCACATTCGTCGCACTCATAGGGTTTCTCCCCAGTGTGGACTCTCTGATGAATGATGAGAGCAGAGCTCCCAATAAAGGACTTGCCGCAGTCCTCACACTCATAGGGCTTCTCCCCGGTGTGGATTCTCTTGTGCTTCGTCAGGCCTGAACTCTGAGCAAAGCTCTTCCCACATTCATGGCAAATGTGGCGCCTCCTCCCAGGGGTGGTTTTCTGCTTTCTGTGTAACCTGCCCTGCTGCTCACCAGCTTCTGCACCAGCAGGGATCTGGGCGGCGGCTTCACCCAGGTGGCACTGCCCAGGCTCCTCTTCTGGAAGCTTCTCATCAGGAGGCCAGTCCCTGATCTTAGTCTGTATTTCAACACCTGAAACAACAAATGACGAGAGCAGCTGTCAATTATGCCCTGCCACGGAGGAAAGCGCTCTCATGAGTCCCAGGGAGGCGAGAATTACAGAAGTCTGTATAAGCCGCACGTGAGGATTTAAATACAGGAATCAGGATGCAAATAAACAGGGATGGATGCTGGGAGAAGGGTACAGACTGAGACTGGAGGGAGGGGGTGTCGACTGTGCTGGGGACACATGCAGAGGCTCTAAGTTCTAAGGACAGGGAGGCAGGACCATGTACCGAGGGCGGGATGGTAAATGGGCCGGACAGAAGGCAGTAGGAGGCGCGGTGAGGAAAAGGGCTTCTGAAACGTTCTGTAGAAACACAGTGGCAACTCAGAGATTAGTCACTGAGCATTGAAAAGCACAGTCATCTCTGCCCTATTCCCAGGCAGAGGCACGGTCCCCAGACAGAACTGGCTTCGTTGCTGAGAGAGCTGAGTTGGAGCCCCCACCGTCCATAACAGGCTTCTGAATCCAAACTGTGGCTTCTAACAGCCCAGCAGGTTCTCAGACACAAAGGAAGCCAGGAAACCTTACACGCAATCAGTGCCCATCGCTCTTACCCGGGGAGGTCGGGGGGCCACCGTCCTCCTGCCTTTCATCTCTGTACGAGTTCACCTGAGATGAAGCCAGCTCTGTCCATCCAGGGGAGACGGTCAGAGCCACATCTTCCATTTTCAGCAGCCCCTGAAACAACAGGGAATCCCACCTAGTTCCTCTGTCCCAAAATCGCTCCCAAAGCTGGCACATGCAAAGAGTGAAAATCCCCTTAAAGGGGCCCTGTGAAAAAGAG